GTGACCTACTATGGGCTAGGCCATGTAGCCTCTCGCTAAACCCCACACATAGTAGGTGCTCTGTAGATGGAGTTCAAGAACTTATGAAGATTGTGGGAAAGAAAATAGGATGGTAGAAGAGGCTAGCAGGGAAGTGCAGCAGGCGGGAGGGAGAGAGAATCAGCGCCCCCCCCCCTTACTGCCAGCCCACTCCGGTCCTTTCCCAGGCTCCAGCCCTCCTGGGGGGGGGTGTCGGATCTCTCTCCCCCCCAAGGCAGAGGGGCGATGGGCGGCACCTGTGGCTCTGCACCCCAAAGGGCGCCCCTCTGGACCACTTGCTGGATGCGGACGTGGACATGGCTGTTGCGCGGGAGGGGCCTGAAGCGTGGTCCCGCGGAGCCTGACCTTCACGCCGCGGGTGCAGGCTCGCCCGCGCTCTCGCGGTCCCCGCGCTGCCACGGCAACCCGGCCTTGTGATTCTCTAGAGCCGCGCTGCGTCGGTGCCACGTGGCGCCCCCCGCAGGCGTGCTCTGGCTGCTCCCCGAAGTTTTCATTCATCTGTGTATTTTCCATGCTACTTTGCCAGAGAGCCTTCCCTGCAGACGTAATGGCCCCTGCTGGTGTTTGATACGGAGCTGCTTGGTCGGGCTTTAGAGTCAGTTGCTGAGGATTTGTTTCTGGTTTCTGCGCCCGCCCGGGAGGGCCTCTTAGCGCTCACCTTGCGTTGGAGTGCAATCGAGGCTCCCCAAAGGCAGATTTGAGTAGCGGGCATCCCAGCTCCTTCTGTACAGTGGGGAGGAGAGGAATAAGGGAGACAGACTGAGGGGCGGGAGCATGGAGAGCATGAGTAAAGCTGGAAAGGTGGGAGAAGGGTTCCAGGGACGTCAGAACTCATCTGACCCCCAGACATCTGGACACCCACTCTGGACAGACACTGTGCAGCATACCTGGGACCCAAATGTGGTACCTGTCCTGAGATTGTAGTGGCAGAAACAATGACTACATAGCATCCTCAGGCCCAAGAGAGAGAGGTGGCCTCTGACTGAGCCTGTAGGTGGGTTAGGAAAGGCTTCCTGGAGAATTCCAAGCTCATACTGAAGCATGTATGATGTGCCAGGTGAAGAAAGGAGTTGAGGGTATGTGCCCCCACTAGGGCATGGTCAGCTCCTGCTCCTCGACTTTCCCCCCACCACGGTTGTGCTGAGACTGTCTAATAGCATCTCTGTGATCGCCTCCTATCCCCTTAAGGGCTTTCAGAAAATGCACCCCTGCTCCATGGTGACAAGAGTGAAGCCAGAAAGAAGTAGTTTGTGCCCTAGTACTGTATCCCACCTGTGGCAAAGTGGACCAGAGGCACAGCGAGTCTCCTTGCAGGCCCCTCCCAATGCCCTTCTGACATCCCAAGCTAGCATTTAAATAAGTACGGCCTCACAGCACAGTCAAGAGATAGACTTTTAGGTTTCAGGCCTGGGGGCTCACATAACCGTGACTGGTAGAGTGTCCATAGTACACCACTGGGCTGTTGTCATGGCATCAGGCCCCAGGAACAGACCCAGAACCTACACCTTGGGTCAGCTGTACACCCTGGGTCATCTGAACACAGCCTCTGTCCCTCCCCAGGATAGGGACCTTAGACAAGTCACTTCCTTCTCTGAATCTCAGCATTCTTCACTGGAAGATAATACTAATGGCCTCCGTACTGCAGTGAGGGTGAAATGACACAATTTAGGTAACAATGCCATACATAGCAGGAGCTAAGGTCATTCCCAGCCCTTGGAAAGGGACCTTGAAGAGGCCCACAGAGACTATATCTTATCCTTTCCTTGTGTGGTACCTGCCACGTAGTAAGTGTTCAGTAAATATTTGTTGAGTGACAAGTAAATGAATAAATGAATATAGTCAACTCCCCAGTCACACACAAATCTTCAAAAGGACTCACTCTTGAATCCTGGCTCTGCTGCTTCCTAGCTGGGCAAGGAATCCTGGCCAAACTTCAATGTCCTCACCTATGACAGGGACACATGAGTGGAGCTTCCTGAAGAAATGCTTTTGAGGTGCCAAGGAGGTGTGGACATGCACACTCTTAAGTCCTGTACACTGGATTCCCCACCACCACCACCAGCCTGGGTCTTCGGGACCCAAACCTGCCTGCAGCTGCTTTGCTGCTGTCCCCTTGGCTCGGGGACTCATGGAGGAATGACAAGGATAAAAGCCAAGGTACTGCCAGCAGGCCAGAACAGGCCAGGGTGAGTCACTCTGCAGCGAGGTCACCTGCCCAGTGCCTCCATTGAAGCAACTTCCTTGTCTGGGGAGCTAATCTCCCCACCTTCATTGTACAAAAAGGAAACTAAGGCTCAGACAGAGAATAATTGTCACATCGAGTAAGGCACAGGGTCAAAAGCACAGATAGGACTCAAGAACATTTGAGAGAGCTCTCTGGCTACGAGCGTTTAACCCACTCAGACTCAGGAGGCATGTTCATGTCAGTGGAATCAAGTCAAGCTTCTCAGCCAGGACACAGCCTTGGATAGGGGAGCTGTGGCTGCGGCCTTTACTCCACATCACCTGCTACCTCATTCCCAGCTCATAAGCTCCAGTCCATGGGCAGCTCTGTTCCTTGGGCACACCCTGCACTGGGCAGCCTCTGGCTTTTTCAAACTTTCCTGCTTCTGAAACATGTGTTCATTAAACCTCCCTTCCCCTCCCAACTTCTACTCATCTTCTTAGAGTCAGATCGAAAGCTAAGTCCATCAATCAGGATGGTTATTACAAGATAGAAGCAACTCAAGTGAGCACCCACAGGTGAATGGATAAACAAAATGTGATAGATACAGACAATGGCATATCATTCAGCCTTAAAAAGGAAATTCTGACACATGTTACAACACGGAATGAACTTTGAAGACATTTCAGGATATAATCAGACATGCATGAACAAAATACTATGTGATTCCATTTACATGAACTACTAGAGTTCACACACATAGAGACAAAGCAGATTAGAGGTTACCAGACACTGGGGGGAGGAGAAAGTGGAGAGCTATTGTTTAAATTAATGCAGCGCAAAGACAATGAAAGAGATGAAAAAATTTCTAGAATGAGTGATGTTTTCATAACAACGTACTGATCGTACATAAACGAATACCACTGAACTGTACACTTAAAAATAGCTAAAATGACAACTTTCATCTTAAAAATATGTTGCCAAGATTAAAAAAAAGAAAAAAGCCAACCAGTTCAGTGCAGATAGCTCACACTGTAATCTTAGCTATTGGGAGACTGGGATCAGGAGGATCAAAGTTCAGGAGGAGATGAAAATTTTCTAGAATGAAAGGTGATGAAGTTTTCATAACAATGTGATGTACATATACACTGAACTGTACACTTAAAAATAGCTAAAATGACAAACTTCATCTTAAGAATATGTTGCCAAGATTAAAAAAAGAAAAAAGCCAAACCAGTTCAGTGCAGATAGCTCACATCTGTAATCTTAGCTATTGGGAGACTGGGATCAGGAGGATCAAAGTTCAAGACCAACATGGGCAAACAGTTTGCAAGACCCCATCTACAAAAATAAACCAGAGCAAGTGACAGAATGCCTGCTTTCAATTGTGAAGCCCACAGTTCAAACCCTATTACCACAAAAAAAAAAAAAAAAAAGCCAAACCCTCTGGGATTCCATCCCTGATACTCTAAAGCAGATGAGAGACAGTTTTGTTAAAGGATCAACAGCAATTTATAGTAAGATTTTTATTAAAAATTACTACATGTATTAAATTTGATACCAAAAAATATCAGGTGAGGACTAGGAATGTGACTCAAGTGGCAGAGCACCTGCTTGAAGCCACGAATTCAAACACAAGTCCCACCAAATAGTAATAATAATGGTAACAAAAAATAGCAGGTGAGAAATACCAAAATGTTTCGATTTATCTTTCCCAAGTTCACTAACTGGCTCTATTCTTCTTTTGAAAACATTGGTCTATTTTTCAAGATGAGGCGGTAAGGGCAGCAGGAGCCCAGACCCAGGTGAAATGAGAAGGGGTCAAAGTCTAGACCTGCTACAGAACAGTCTAGGAGGACTCCACCTGCAGTCCGGGAGCATCACCACTCAAGCCTGCAGGCTAGAGGTCAGAGGACCTCTCCAGGCCTGGGAGGAAGACTGGCTAGAGCAAGGAAACTGGGACTACAGGTAGGTACAGGACGGGATGCCCAACAAGGGGGAGGAGTGGAGCTGACATCTATCCAGAGTGGCCAGTTATCTCTTTCCCTGTGGTATCTCTCTGCCCTGTCACGGGAGAGATTGGCATCCTCATGCCACGGAGGAGGAAAGTAGGAAGTACGATGACTCATACATTAGTCGAGTTGGAGCAACTGATTAGAACTAGCATATGGAAGCCATAGTCCTTCCACAGGGGCCCAGTGCCGAGCAGAGAGGACTCGAGAAATCCCAAATGGGAAGCGAAGGCATAACGGCCAAAGGAAGAGAGGGGAGAGGCTGTGGGCTCTGTTCAGAGGAAGAATACAGGAGCTGCGAAGGGGGTGCGACGGAGGAGGAGTGAGCGCGGCTTCTGCATCTGGATGGACTAGTCCTGACAGCTCATGCGGGCAGTTAGCAGTCAGTGCCCATGGAGGAAGGACCAGCCTTGGGCAAACTGGGGCTCCAGGCCTCCTTGGGCACGCCCCAGTTCTGTGACTGCGCAAGCTCTTTTCCTTCTCTGAGCCTGTTTCCTCTGCTGAGTGAGCAGAGTGAAAATCCTCCTTTTCCTTCGCACCAGGCTTTGCGCGGCCCTCATTTAGCAATGCACCAGTTTTTCTGGCACACCTGGTTGTGCAATGCCCACGTCTAGCTGAGCAGCGAAAGCGGAAACAACTACAGGACGCTCCGTGGGCGGACGCTCGGACACACCACCGGCGAGAGGCGCAGGGGACCGGGAGGCGACCGCGCCCTGTGCCTGGGCTCCGGCTGGCTCCGGGGGGCGTCCCCATCCACAGCTGTCCGCAGCCTCGGGGGCTAAGCCATGGCGGAGCCCGAAGCTGCAGCCGACGACCTGGACGCCCTCATCGACGACCTGGACTACCTCCCGGGCCACTTCCACCTGGAGATGCAACTGAACTTCGAGCCGCGCTCGCCGGCCCGCTGCGCGCCCGGGACCTGAAGCTGCAGCGGGAAGGCCTGAGGCAGGAGCTCGATCTGGAGGCCACTCTGCAGCGGCCCGCCGTGTGTCACCTTCTGGGCACCTTCGCCTTCTACCTGGAGGAGCTGGACGAGGCCCGAGAGCGCTTCCTCGAGGTGGCCGGCGAGGACCCGGGCAACCTGAACGCCTGGGCCAACCTGGCGCACGTATATGGACGGCTGGGCCAGGAGGAAGAAGAGGAGGCATGCGCCGCGCGGCTGGCTAGCCTCATGGGCCTGGCGGCGGACCCCGAGGCCGCCGGAGACCCCCAGCTCCGCGCGGCTCGCTGCCTGGCGGAGCAGGGCTATGCGCACGGTTTCGACGTGGGCTGCACCAGCCTAGAGGAGCGCGCGCGGGTCCTGGCGGTGGGCATCGCCCTCTATGACAAGGCGCTTAGCTACGGACAGCAGGTGAGTGACACCTACCTGGCCCCACACTGGAAGGACTGTGCTCATGACCCTTCTCTGCAGACAGCCCCTCACCAATGTGCACTCCCATTCCTGTCCCAGACTACGCCTGTAGCTTTGCTCCCCTGGGCTATGGAGTGGACCCTGGCAGAGCTGCCCACCTAAGTCTCTCTTCCCACTACACTGCTAATTCATCCCTCTTTCTTGCTCCTCAGCAAGTGCCTGCCCCCGTGATGATGCACACTTTGCCTAATAAAGGCACAACCAGACAGCCCCCCAAACTCAAGCAGCATTCCTACCTACTTTCTCCATCCCTAGCCCCCATCCATTCAGACCCTAAATCTTATTCTCTCCACCTCCTCATCTCCAAGGTCTACCCACCCCTCTCCAGCTGTCCTCTGCCAGTCCAGCCTCCATAGTTTCCTGCCTGCATGCAGCAGTTGCCTTCCTCCTCCCTGGGTTTCCTGGTCTCCAGCTTGACCCTCTTGCTCCTATGGTAGCCCAGCTCTCCTCCATTGGAGGCCCTCAGTCACCCTCACAGGTTGGCAGCATGAACCCTAGGTGTTGGGTCGGGGCATTTTGAGGGCCCTCAGTGATCCACCTCTTTGCTCCTTCCTCTTGCATGTCCTCTTCTAAGCCTGGCTTTTTTGCCACTTTCTACTTCCTCTCAATTCCCAGTGGGTCAGGTTCCTTACAGCTCACCTTGTCCCTTCTCGACCTTTCCTAGGGTGCCTTCTGTTCCACCTTTGCCTGGAAGGCTCTCTTCAGTCCAGTGTTTTGGAACTTCCCCTCATCTAGAAAGGCATCCACTAACTTCTCAGGCTGGTCAGAGCCTTCTTTGGGCTCCCACAGTACTGATCCTACTGTCTGCCTATAAGTCTGTCTCTCCAGCTCAACCTCCAGGGCTTTGGGAGTGGGGACAATGTCCATCTGGTTTACCACTGAAAAGCCAATGCCTGTCACAGAGTGGCTCTCAACAGTGTACCTTGACTGGATGTCTGTGCAGCATAGTACCTTGGCACAAACAGACAAATAGATATGCTAGTTGTCTATTGCTGCCTAACAAGTACCCCCAAACGCAGCAGCTTAAAGCAATAAGCATCTTTATGGCACAGTTCTGTGGGCAGCCACCTAGGTGTGGTTCAGCTCAGTGTCCTGGGGCTGTAGTCTCATCTGAAGGCCCACCTGATGTGGGTAGGGCATCTGCTTCCATGCTAGCTCCCATGGTTATGGGCCAACTACCATGGGCACTTCCTCACTGGCTGCTGGACTGACATCTTGTGACTTGTGGCATATTTTGTTCATTAGAAACAAGTAACTATGTGCAGCCACACTCCAAGGGGGGAATTACACCAAAGTCACAAATACCATGAGGTGTGGGCTTCTGGGGACTATCTCAGCTGCCTGCCACACCAGGCATCAAATGGTGAGAGACTGACGCAGAGGGTGTTATCCTCCCCTGTAAAAGAGGGGCCACCATGACTTTTCTGTGAAGATACGGCAACAGGGCAGAGTTGAACTGCTAACAGATTTTTGTGATATTTAAATAACAACAATCCTTCACACCTGGGTAGTATTATCGCCATTCGCAAAGCTTCTGCACTCCTCCTCGTGCCTTTTCCACCAAAGCTTCTGGCTTCTGTAAAGGGAAATGTGGAAGTTTCAAGTTGGAGGGCATGGACTTGACCTTGGGCAGCAGTGCAGGGTAGAGGCTGAGAGGAGACTCCAGGTCAGATGGCCCAGAACCAAATCCCAACTCCCGTGTCTCACCTCTGATTTTGTGCTCAGCCTCTTTAAGCGTCCTTTCCCTCGTTTGAAATGGATAGATGGTATGTGTGTCATAGGCGTCCTCATCAGTAAAACAGAACACTACTCAGTTGACTGATGTCATAATTAAGAGTTAATATTTAGAAGCTCCTAGAACAAGCCTGCGAAGGAATGGGCAGGGTCCCAGGTGAACCTCTATCTCCCCTCCTCTTCCTTCAAGCCGGGTGCAGATGTGACCGTTGCATGGGGCCAGCAGGGACCCAGACCTCCAGTTTGAATCCGGAGCCTGTGGCCCTGAATTGCCCTGCCTCCCTCCATAGATGGCAATGGTCAGCACTGGAAGTGTTGAGGCGTGTTGTGGCCCAGGTCACAGCAGTGGCATGATGTCTAAAGAGGTCTGGGTGCAGAGCCAGGAGGCCCCAGCCTCATTGTAGCTGCAGAAAACTCCACAGTGGAGTTTTCTCTCTGGGCTGTGGTTTCCTCATCTGTGAAATGGGCACAGGAAGGGGAACTGCATGATCTCTGAGGCCCTTTTCTGCAATCAGGAGGCATTCAATGGGAGAAGCTTCCTGGAGGAGGTAAGCAGAGAGGTTTAGAGGTAGCAGAGACCAGCTCCACCCTCTCTGTAGTCAACACAGCCACAGTGAGCACTGCCCAGTGAGTGAACGCCCAGATAAGGTAGTACTGAACAGGGTACCCCATGCCCTGGAGAGGATGCCAATGGCTCCACAGGGCTGTGGCTGCTGGGCTCCGTGCTGCATCCTTGGACCTGGTCCAGTGCTGTTCTCCAGTTCTGCAGCAAGCAGCTGTGGTCAGGAGAGAAGTGGGGATGTGGAGCCCCCATCAATCTTCTGAGAAGTAGGTGAAGTCATGCTGTAAAGCTCGTGGCAAGGGGGTGAGGGCATAGCTCAGCAGTAGAGCACTTGCCTAGCATGCATAAGATCCTGGGTTCCATCCCATCTCTGCAAGGAAACAAAGCAAAACAATTTCTTTCCTAAAGTACCTGCCTCAAGACACAGGGGCAGTCAGGGTGACAAGTGATGATGATTCCAGCAATTAGAGTCAGGAGACGTGGGTTTTAGCACTCAACTATATTATTATTTTGCTGTGTGGCTTTGGACAGGTCACTTGTCAACTCTGGTCTCAGCATCTGCTTTATAAGCATTTGTCAGTTGTGATCTCTGCCTCAGGTTTACTGTGATTATGCCCCTGAATAATGGAGTGAAAGTGCCTGTCAACCTTGTAGCTTCCAGGATGAATGAGAGGCGTTCACTGAACGTCTTATATTTGTTCATCACCTACTCTGTGCTAGGTCCTGTCTTTGAGAAGTTCCTGCCATTCAAGGGAAGCAAATACGTTCCTTCATTCACTCGTCTTACCCACACCCTTCCTCTGGGAGATTTGTCCACAACTAGCCAAGGTCAAAGGCCCATGTCATGTGACAGTCAGCTCCAAGAGCTGGAGAACTGTATTATCACACTTTCTGAACCAAAACCAGGCCCTCAGAGGCTGATTGTGGAAGTGGACTTTGGGAACATGGGACCAAATGTTGGTGTCAACAGTGACCTAGAAAATCCAGGTCCTGTGGATAGAGGAGCAGTCAGTGAGTTCCAGAGAAGGGATATTCCCTTTCGCAAAAGTGACTGAAGAAGCATCAGAAAGAGGCAGGAGTGCACTGGCAGGAATAAGATGACGGTACTCCCAGCATGGGTATGGTGTGTGCAAAGGCCCTGTGGCAGAGCATGAGGGCTTCAGAGAGCTGGCCAGACCCAGCCTGAATGAGGCCTGGAAAGAAGCAGCCGGAAGCTTTGTAGGGTTCACACCTCCTTAGATAGGTACTATGCTCTCTGCCTAAGAAGCAAACTCCACCCGTCAAAACCCAGCTCCAGGGTCACTGTCTCCTGGAAGCCTTCCTTACACAACTGACACCGTAGTATGCATGACTGCCTCCTCGGGACCCTCCCTCAGACTGTCCTCACAGGAACCCTGAGGCCTCAATTTATAGACAAAGGAACTGAGGCACAGAAGGAACTTGCCCAAGGGCACAGAGTTAGTAGGTGGCCGTGCAATCCTTTCCACTGTGCCTGGCTTTAAAGCCTTTGCTCTTTCTGGAAGGGTCAGAGAGTATGGCAGGGGGTGAGATAAAGCTAGTGTAGGAGCTGGAAGAGTGGCTAAAGTGGTAGAGCACCTGCCTAGCAGGCATAAGGCCCTGAGTTCAAACTCCAGTACCTCCAAAAAAAAAAAAAGAAAGAAAGGCTGGTGAAGGAGAGGAGACACCTCTTCCAGGTGGCCTCCCAGAGGCAGGGAAATGTCACCACATGTTAGGGAGATTCAGGAGAATGGGGACAGAAGGTGGAGGCTTTTAGGACAGACAAAGGAGGGACCCCCGGTTGCATGGCCCAACCTAGGCTATCCCAACCAATGGGATTGGGACAACACAGGCAGGGAAGAGCCCCAAGAACACAGAGGATAAGGAGCTGCTGGAGCTGGATGCTGGTGGCTCATGACTGTGATCATAGATGTTCAGGAGGCAGAGATCAGGATGATCGAGGTTTGAGGCCAGCTGGGGCAAATAGTTTGTGAGACCCTATCTCAAAAAAAAACCCTTCTCCCCTCCTTCAACATCCCTACACACACACTCACACACACACATACACACTCACATACACACATACACACACATACACACTCACATACAAACACACACAGTCATAGACACATTCTCACATGCACATATACAGTCACACAATACACACTCAGACACGCACTCACACACATACACGCATGCATGCACACTCACGCACATACACACTCACATACACTCACACACACACACACCAGACACACACACCAGATTAAAATTCTGCCTCCATTGCCAGGTGGCTTCAGCAGGTAGCTTTTCTTCTCTGAGCCTCAGTTTCCTCACCTGAAAATGGGACAAAGGCTGCTGGGAAGATGGAGAGAACAGAAGGCACGCCACAGGGTGCTCCCTGCCCACCCCAGCCCCTATACTGCACTGGTGCTCCTTACAGAGCTCTTGCCTTCCCTGGCTGGCCTCCGTGTGAGTTCTGTCTTGCCCCCTGTGGGGCGAGCCCTGCCTTGGGCTCTCTCTGTTGCTGGTCTCCCTCAGGGACTAACAAGAGTTCTGAACACCCAGGGAGTGGGACTTGAAGAACTCAATTTTAAGTCTTAAAAATTCCCTTTTTTGGCAGCACTGGGGGTTGACCTCAGCTAGG